CATACGTAGGATTATAATCTTTTTGGAAGCGATTTAAGTGACTTTCTCCTTTTTTGTGACCGCCTCTAAGTGATATTTTATGTCCATTAGTTGTCAGCAGCAGCAGCAGCGCAAGCAGCCTTTCTCATACGTCAGATTTTACGTAATTTCATGATCATAAATGTATGCAGGTAACTCAAAAAGCGTCGAAAACCTAATGAAATTTTAGGAGTATTTATGTGATAATTTACGGTATTTTCCCAGTTTTTTTTTGCTTCAGTTTTTCCAGACAATACCCCACTTCCTATGCTTCACGCTTAAATTGGTTCTTTAATAAGAAAAAAATTGTTTTTCAGGGTGTAAAATGTGAAGATTGTGGATTTTGTGCACATAAGAAATGCAGCGAACGTACAATCCATGACTGTCGACCGGAAGCGAAATACGTACGACGCATGTTTGCCGTCGATATTAGTACATTGTGTATGGCGCATGATGTTGACGTACCGCCGGTTGTTTCGGCTTGCATCGCTGAGGTTGAACGACGTGGCTTGCATGCTGAAGGAATCTATAGGGTAATCATCTTACTGGCATTTTGTTATTGTAAATCAATAGTAAAATGTTCTCGAAATTACACCAAGAATATCAGGAATATCACCGGAACAGTCAGTGTGAGTTTATCAACATGTTCCTTTTTTGACATGACGAATTGGACCACTGTACTGATGATTTCCATCCCATTTCGCATTGATTTGATAGCCTGTATTTACAGCTCAGGGATGAAACACAGACAGACTGGCAAGTCACTGCACATACAGACTTGCTTATTTGGGAGATCTAAATGGCACTTCCATTGTGTTTTCATTAATTATCAAAATTCGATTGTGTTCCTCTCCACGGTGGTGGACCATCAGCGCCAAACAAACTGCATATGTTAATAACGCATAGACGATTTCAGGCCCTCATCCTTTTCCAATAGCTCCTAGCCAGGGATATTCATTGTTTGTATTTCTAAAATTTTTTTACAACACTTAGTAT